AAAACTGAATTATTTGGTGTTCCCTTATTACATCCACCAAAACTTATTTACACTGTTTAAGTTATCTTAATGTTGACTGCATTTTCAACCCATCGTGCTTTTTAGATTGAGCTAAATGCAACACCTTTTGCAATACAGTGGTACCTCAGGTTACATACGCTTCAGGTTAGAGACGCTTCAGGATACAGACTCCGCTAACCCAGAAATATTACCTTGGGTTAAGAACTTTGCTTCAGGATGAGAACAGAAATCACGTGGTGGCAGCGCAGTGGTCCCATTAGCTAAAGTGGTGCTTCAGGTTAACAACAGTTTTAGGTTAAGAACGGACCTCCGGAACGAATTAAGTACTTAACCCGAGGTACCACTGTACCGGTAAGAAATGGAAGGTAATGAGTAATGGGCAAATTAATTTTATCGGCAAAAAAGAATTTACAGTCTCTTCCAAGTCAAAAACCCCAAAACCCTCAGAACACAGAAGCCGAAAAAAACAAAGTGGGGAAGGCTCTCTGTTTTGGGCCCGACTGATGCAGTTTACGGAGGGCTGGCTTGGCCCTGCCAACAGCGAGTCCCTAAGTGATGACATGGGGATTTCTGCAGGAAAAATGCTCCTTTGCCCCATACTCCTCTTGCTGCAAACTCTGCGGTCAGTCCTGAGAAACACACACACTTGGGTGGCCTGGCAAGCTCTCGGGTGGCTACCCAGATTCTGGCTTGCGTCCTCGGAGCCCGTTGCTGGAGAAGGCCGACCCTTGAACACGGGATTCGCACCCGGCACCTGGCCTGCTCTGCCACCACCCAGCTGGAACTGGCACCAGCTGGTCAGAGAATCAATAGCCCCTCTGTCATTTCCCTTCCTGGGCGATGATGCTGTTCGTTGGCTCGGATGGATGAATGAGCCAATTGTCAGGAGAGTTTTGCCTCCTGCGGAAAAGCATTTCTGCCTTGGGGCAAGGCAGGGATAAACCACATCCATTCAGCCCCACCCCACCCTGGGCTTTCGTTTATTTATTGCATTCCTGCCCCGCTGTTTTTCTCTGAGGAATTCAAGAGGATGTGCAGGATTTACCCAAAGAGCAACCCTGCGCGGTAGGTCAGGCGAGAGGCAGTGACTGGCCTGAGGCTAAGAGAGAATTTGAACCCTGGTCTCTCCTGGGTCCTAGTCCAACACTCTAACCCCTACGCTGTAATGTCTGTCTCTTTTTATAGCAGGTCGGCCCCAAAGCAGGAGGGTCAGGGACCTGGCTGGACCAAACTCACACTCCAAACCCCACACAGAGCTCAGCCCCCCTAAAAAATATCTGCATTCACTAAAGGTAAAGGGACGCCTGACCATTAGGTCCAGTCGTGACCGACTCTGGGGTTGCGGCGCTCATCTCGCTTTATTGGCCGAGGGAGTCGGCGTACAGCTTCTGGGTCACGTGGCCAGCATGACTAAGCCGCTTCTGGCGAACCAGAGCAGCGCACAGAAACGCCATTTACCTTCCTGCCAGAGTGGTACCTATTTATCTACTTGCACTTTGACGTGCTTTCAAACTGCTAGGTTGGCAGGAGCAGGGACCGAGCAACGGGAGCTCACCCCGTCGCAGGGATTCGAACCGCCAACCTTCTGATCGGCAAGCCCTAGGCTCTGTGGTTTAACCCACAGCGCCACCTGCGTCCCTTTGCAGGATCATAGACTCATGGAAATCTAGAGTTGAAAGGGACCCTGAGGACCATCACTCCCTGCAATGCAGGAATATGCAGCTGCCTCGTGTAGGGATCAATACGATACGATCATCTTTATTGTCATTGTCCCATACAGAACAACAAAACTGAAAAAAATCTACATCAGACATTCATAAACCAACAGGCCTGCTATCCCAGCTTGGTTAGCCCCCTAGAAACTCTGATACCCCATAATTAAATACAATATATTCCCATAGAGACTACCTTACACTGCATTTAAAACCAAAATCGCATTTGAATAGATACTGTTTCTCAGGCGGCTAGTTCTAGTCTTTATAGCCCTGTACCTTCTTCCAGAAGGCAGAAGCTGAAAGAGATCATTTCCGGGGTGCGTATTATCCTGCACTATCTCTGCAGCTTTCTTATGGCACCTGGAAGCGTAGATTTGATCCAAGGTGGGCTTGAACCTGCAACCTTGGCACTATCAGCATCATGCGCTAACCAACTGAGTTAACACAACTCAAGACTGAAGGTCTGGCTAGATCAGCATCATGCTCTCCACTATAGAACAAAATCTGACGCCACACGGACGTCCGCAGGAAGGCAGGAATCCACACACACACCCTCGTTGTTTCTGCCCCCCAGAAAACCGGTACGCAGTGGTATAACTGCTGCTGAGCCTGGAGGCTCCAACGCCTCACCTTGACCAACTCGATCTCCATCCTCAGTCTGCTGTTTTCCGAGAGGAGGTCTTTGTTCCGCGACTCCACCTGCTGCAGCTGCGCCTCGAGTTCGGCCTCATACTCGCGGCTCCCTTCCTGAAACTCGCGAAGCTCCTCCTGGGCGTTCTCTGCGCTGGAGGGGGCGACAAAGCCAGGCTCAGAGTCAGCACCCTCCTCGCCGCTACAAATTCCGCAAAGCCTCTTCCGCCCTGCAGAGGAGGTGGGATTGCGGGCGTCAGGGCCCCACCACGCGCGCGACGGCTGGAACCCAGCCAACACGCGATTGGGGGGATTCCCTGTCGCGTCACCTCCTGGCCAGCCAATCGGCTGGCTCTGGGGGTGTGGCCTGCCCTATTTAAACCAGGACATGGCCAGGGATCTCCCTCTTTCCCACCTGCCATCTGTTCCTGTTTTTCCCACCCTCCCGCCCTATAAGGTTTTCATTCCTTGACCTTGCTATGGACCTTGGCTGGTTGCCATTGAGGGGCCTGGTAGGAATTTTCCCACTTGGCAAATTGGCACCAGCCACTTGGTTTTCGCCTACCTCGTAGCAAATCGTCACAACTTTTTGGGTATTCGGCATTGGTATTGTTTTGTAGATGGAAGAGGGGAGGAAGCACCATCACCTGCCCCACATATTGAAGGGTAGTCCGATAAAGGATTCCGGGGGCGTGACCCTGTCTGAAGCCTAGGGAGGTGAGGGCCTAAGGCAAGCCCCCATCAGTGATCCCGGGAGAGTTCCTAGTTGATGTGCATCAGCAGGACTCCTCCTACTGGGGGTTAACCCTTCCTGGACTTCCAGCGGACGGGCTGAAGCCAGATATAGTTGGTTAGGACCAGTGCCTAAGCCAATACCGCTCATCACCTGTAACCAATAAAGTTGTGGCCTGTTTTAGCCCATTAACCTTAATTGTGTCATGTGTCTTTATTTCCACGGGGGGGGGACGGGACGGGAACTCGCCACGCAACCCAGATTCCGCGCCGAGAGAAGATGGGATTCCGCGACCGGCTAAATCGAGGAGCCCGTCTGCGTTTTGCAAAACGCTTCCTGGGTTCCGGCGGTCCCCACCCGTAACCGCTGCGAATCTCGCTTGGCTCCCGAGATTCCGAGGAGAGCGCCTCACGCCGCTTTCAAAACACACATCCACAGCCCTAGGGGGGGAAGAGAACTTGCTAATTTCAAATTTAAAGGGTTCACTTCCCCTCTGGGTTCCTGACGTACAGGCAAGCCAAGTTCAGTTTGGTTCCAGCCACTGGCCTGGAAAAGAGGGATTGATCGCTAACCATTCCGGGAACTGTAGCACTATGAGGAGAAACAGGGGTTCTCCTAACAACTCTTTGCCCCTGAGCAAACTACAGCTCCCAAAATTCTATGCGGGAAGCCATGACCGCTTAAAGCAGTATAATAAATGTATAATGCAGTTGGGGCCTAAGCTGCTGCGGTCAGGGAATCAGGTGATAATAAGGAAACTGGTCCCTGCCCTGAGGGGCTTACAATTTCAGCAATGGGCCAGAAGTGAGCATTTCGGAGTTGCAAAGCCCCCCACCTTGCCCTTATCCCAGAAGGACATCTAAATTCTTTACCACTGTTTGTATTTCGCAGCCAGCTCCTTCCAGTGGTTCCTTTCTTCTTCCACTGAGCCAAACTGTTTCCTTTCAGCGTCATTCATCGTAGAGGCTCTCTAGCATCGTTTCCTACAAAGGGGGGTGCAGGGGTAGAAGACAGGAATGAGAATTTTTCCCCCTACCCAAAGACTTTTCTATAGCTGACCGAATCTTCATGCAATGAATGCCCAGTTGCCGGCATAAACGAAAGATGCTGGGGCCTGGGGATTATCTAATGCTTATTTCCCCTAAATTGATTTCTGAATTTTGAATTTTATTCTTATTCATGTTTTTATAATGTATTTTATGCTGCTTTTACAATTAAATGTTTTAAATTTGCTGTTAAATTTGCTGAGCCCGGTTTTTGAACCGGGAAGGGCAGGGTATAAATAAAAAATTATAATAATTATTATTATTACAGTGGTATCTCTGGTTACGTACTTAATTCGTTCCGGAGATCCGTTCTTAACCTGAAACTGTTCTTAACCTGAACCACCACTTTAGCTAATGGGGCCTCCCGCTGCCGCCACGCCACCGGAGCACGATTTCTCTTCTCATCCTGAAGCAAAGTTCTTAACCCGAGGTACTATTTCTGGGTTAGCGGAGTCTGTAACCTGAAGGGTATGTAACCTGAAGCGTATGTAATCCGAGGTACCACTGTAGTATTATTATTATTACTATTTTATTTATTTATGCATGTAGATAATCATTGCAGAGCTTTACGCAGCAATCCCAAAAGGAGCAAGACCTACAGAACTGAATGAGACTTCTTGGGGGAGATCCATAGCTCAGGGGCAGAGAATCTGCCTTGCATGCCAAAGCCCCCAGGTTCAAATCCCCGACATCTCGAAGTTGGGCTGGGAGAGACTTCGGTCTGACACCAATCTGATGGACCAATGATCTGCCTCTATATAAAGCAGCTTCCTCTGTTGCTATAAAATCACAGAAGAGTAGCACTGGAAGGGACCTCTGAGGGTCATCCAGTCCAACCCCTGCAATGCAGGAATCTTTTGCCCAATTTGGGGCTTGAACCCATGATCCTGAGATTAAGAGTCACATGCTCTACCGACTGAGCTACCCCTGTATAGCTATGTTATTTCCGAATAAACTTCAGAGTGGATAAAAAAAGCCACTAAACTAAATTCATTTTTAGCCATTTAACTTGCCATGGTTCTCAACCTGTGGGTCCCCAGATGTTGTTGGACTACAACTCTCATCATCCGTGAGCTCTGGCCTTGCTAGCTAGGGGTGATGGGAGTTGTAGTTCAACAACATCTGGGGACCCACAGGTTGAAAAAGGCTGAAGGGATTTATGGATGCATGTATGTTTTTTCTGTTGTTAATATTTTGTTATTTTTGTTAATTCATTGTGTGTGTTTCTTAAGTAAGAAAACTAATAAAAAGCACACGCACACTCTCTCTCTCACTCACTCATTCACTTTTGGCCATTTAACCTTATCTATATAGTCATTTTATTTATTAAATTTATATCCTGAGGATCGCAGCATAAAAAAGCAGAACACATACCACAATAACAAAGAGAGTAACAATATGCCCCTCCCTGCCCAAAGTCGCTGCCTTGCAAGATTAAAGGACGTCTTGGATATTTCTAAAAATAAAACTTTTTGTCCCAACAACACTTAAAATAAACACCATAGGTTAAAAATAGAAAGCAAGAACATGTGGCTGCCACAGACACGCAGAAGGACCACGGAGAGCGTGCGAAGGGCCCAACTCAACCAACGCCAACCCAGCAGTGCTGGCAAGAGTCTTCCAAAGGAGAGCCATAGACTCTCCCAAATCCAATTACAAGCTCCCTTTGCAATTTAGTTGACATTACTTTCCCATAGAAAGTAATGGAAACTGGATTAATCCGTTCCAGACTTTTAAAAACAATCCCCAAAGCAGCAATTTAACATGAATTTTACTATCTAACGAGACCATAAAAATGAAAGCAATAAACAGTGTACTGCAGCCACTCACTCACTCAATCAATGAATCAATCAATCAATCAATAGCTGAACTGGGTTCCCCACAGTCACATAAACAAACAAAAAAGCCACAAAAACGCAAAATAAATAGCAAAAACAGACAGACCTCAGTGTAACACTCAAAACGGAAGTGTGGCACTCAAATTGGAAGCGTAACACTCAAAATAGAGAATGTTTGGCTTCCGAAAATAGTTCACAAACTGGAACACTTACTTCTGGGTTTGCAGTGTTTGGGTTCCAAGTTGTTTGAGTACCAAGGCGTTTGAGAAACAAACTTCCTCTGTATGGTGCAAATGTGACAAAATGTTCCAAATAAAAATGGCAATCGACCCACAACAAACACCAAGTAACTTCTGCTATTGACACCAACGTAAAAAGACTCAGACACAGACGGATCCAGGAGGCAGACGGCCAGGAAGAGCTTCCTTCCTTTAAGTAGAACAGCTGGTCATAAACATTACAAAACAAAGCCTGAGTCACAGAGGAACTGGAAGTTTTGGTGGGTGGTGTCAGGGAACTGCCATCGGTAGGAAGGGAGGTGAAAGGACTCAGACAGGTTGGAAGAGACTTAGCAGCTGAAGAGGAAACCAGCAGGGGGAGAGAAGCTGAACTGAGGGAGGTGAAAGGGCTCAGACAGGTTGGAAGAGACTTAGCAGCTGAAGAGGAAACCAGCAGGGGAGAGAAGCTGAACTGAGGGAAAGGGAGCTGGGGGGATGGCTCAGAGATACTTCCAGCGAAAACAGTGGTGAGGTTTCCGGACCTCCTGTAGCGACACCCACTCCTCGCCGGAAACTGTCACGCAGAGAGTCCAGAAGACGTGTTTCCGTTAAGGAGCTTTTATGTTGGAAGCGATTACGAAAGCAACCACTGTCGGAATCTTCTAGTGACTAAGAGGAGCCATGTCAGAGGGGCTCAGTCACAGACAGAGGTTTGTGGACTTGAACAAACTCTGAGGGAATACGATTTTACGCACAAGCAGCTCATAATCCCATCACAGCATTCCGACAGTCTTTGAACGCAGCTTGTGCAGGAGAAGGCATAATGAGCAACCCAGCAGGAACCGGAGAAGCAGGGGCTGGAGCGGGTCCAAGCCTGGAAGAAAGGTACCGAGTGTTGGAGGTCCAGCTGGCGCTGCAGACGGCGAGGCTGGAGGAGAGGAGGGCTCAAGATGCAGACAAAGGGAGAAAGCCACCCAGCTCGCCAGAAAGGTACCAGGATTGGTGCAAAAATTTGGGGGGGGAGCCCAAAGACTATCATAGCTTTCGGACAGAAATGCAATATGCCCTCAATCTGCAGTTTGATGATTTCCCTGATGAGGAATCACGAGTGGCTTTTGTGATTGGGCATCTTGAAAAGGGGGCGAGAGACTGGGTTAGACCCCTGATGGCAGCTAATAGTGACGTCTTAAAGGACACGATGAAGTTCTTTCGCGCCATGGATCTGATGTTTTCCAGCGATATTGAAAAGGGAGTGGTGCGCAGACAGTTAATGGCTTGCAAACAGGGGAGCCGATCTGTACGTGAGTACTGGACTGAGTTCACCATGCTGATACACAGATTGGGGTGGGACTTATCGGCGGAACCCATTCAAATGCTCTTTGAAGAAGGGCTTTCTTCGGCTGTGAAAGATGAACTTTCCCGGGCGCCCAGGGCGGAGTCTATGGACCAGCTGACCAAATCAGCGCTGGCCATAGGAGCGCGCCAGGAGGCGAGAGCATTGGAGAGGCGGGAAGGGAAAGGGGAACGTTGGAAGGAGTTCCGCATTCCAGAAATTCCAGAGCCAACTGTCCCGCCGGCAGAGCCGATGGAAATCGGAACAGCGCGCGCGCGCGCAGTTTCAAAGCCCAGTGAGGGGGGGAAAGAAGGATGGAAAAGGCGCCCGGAAATGCTATCTCTGCCAACAGCCAGGGCACTTTGCCAGAGTCTGCCCTCAGAGGAAGGAATGGCAAGGGATGGTGGGAGCTGTGGAGGGAAGAGAGGAAAAATACCGGAGCAACTAAAAGCCAACGCCTGGCTGCCATTGTCGGGGCACAGCAGCCAGGCCAAAGAGCAGTGAAAGTGCCCACTCCAGAACCTCCTAAACCCGCCCTAGTGATAGAAGTGACACTAGAGCTCCCAAACGGACACCCTCTAAAGATAAAGGCGCTGTTGGACTCAGGCAGCTCCTGCAATTTCATGAGCAAAGAGTTTGCAGCTGAACACCAGATACAGACGCTCCTTTAAGCAACCCCCTGCAGGTAACCACGATCGATGGCAGGGAGCTGTTGGGAGGAGAAGTCAGCTTGCAGACCGTCCCAATGATAATGAAGGTGGCAAGGCACACTGAACTGATAGCTTTTAATGTGGCCACCTTGGGAGGAGCTCCCATTATATTGGGGATGAGCTGGCTAGCGTTACATGATCCGCTGGTGGGCTGGCATCAGAGAGTGGTTTCTTTTGGGTCAGCACATTGCTTAGAACATTGCAAAGAGGGAAAGGTTTTGGCAGGGGCCCAAGCCACCCTAGCAGGGACTGAAGTGAAGGAGAACGTGAAGGTACCACGACAATACGCAGATCTCCGCGACGTCTTCAGCGAAAGGGAAGCTGACCAACTACCACCGCATAGAGCCTTTGACTGTCAAATCAATTTGCTCCCTGGGGCACAGCTCCCTGTGGGCAAGCTGTACGCCATGTCAGACAGAGAGATGCAGGAGCTAAGAGAGTTCATTGACAAGAACCTGAAGAGAGGGTTCATCAGAGAGTCCAGGGCGGTGGGGCAGCCCAGTGTTTTTGTGGACAAAAAACACGAACAAGCCGAGACTGGTGTGTGACTTCAGGGCCTTAAATGCAGTGTCAGAACCAGTGGCCTTCCCGATGCCCAGGATTGACGACATTTTGACAAGGGTGCGAAAGGGAAAGATTTTCACCAAGCTGGATCTAGGGGGGCGTACAACCTGATACGAATAAGGAAGGGGGATGAATGGAAAACCACCATGTTCACCCCTTTAGGGGCATTTGAATACTTAGTTATGCCCTTCGGTCTACAAGCAGGCTCCGCAACATTTCAATCGTTTATGAACCACGTCCTGGGGCCGTTGCTTTACAAGAATTGTGTGGCCTTCTTAGACGACGTGTTGGTGTATTCTGAGAATGAGGAGCAGCATGTGAGAGACGTCAGAGAAGTGTTGAGCAGGCTGCAAGCCAACCAGCTGTGGGTGAAACTGGAGAAGTGTCAGTTTCATACCAAGGAGGTGGAATTCCTGGGGTATCGCCTGTCTGACAAGGGGTTGGCCATGGATCCCGGCAAGGTCCAGGCGGTACTGGAATGGAAAACACCCAAAACAAGGAAGGATGTGCAGAGGTTTTTAGGGTTTGGGAACTTCTATCGTAAGTTCATCCCAAACTTTGCCCACCTGACGGCGCCCATTACGGACTGTCTCAGCAGTAAGAAGAAGTTCGATTGGACGGAGGAGGCGGAGCAAGCATTTGAGGAAGTAAACAGGGCCTTCGCCACGGAACAACAGCTCCTGCATGTGGATTTACAAAAACCGATGAGAGTGGAAACTGATGCATCAGACAGAGCGGTTGGGGCGGTGCTTCTCCAGCCAGGGAAGGAGGAGTCAGAGTGGAGACCGTGTGCTTTTTTTCGCGAAAGCTGAACAAATCCGAGAGGAACTACACGGTGTATGACCGAGAACTACTAGCCATTCATGAGGCGTTCCGGAGATGGAGGCACCTGCTAATTGGCGCACAACATAAGGTGCAAGTGTGCACTGACCACAAGAACCTAGAGTATTGGAGGACGGCACGAGTGCTCAACCAACGGCAAGTGAGATGGGCTCAGGAATTCTCCAAATTTAACTTTGAGATTTGTTACGTGCCAGGCCCAGAGAATATTAGGGCGGACGCTCTCTCACGCAAACCTGAATATTTGGAAGGGGAGGGAGCACCCGAAGAGAGACATGTCATTCCAGAGGACCGCTGGGTGTGTGGGGCGGCATTGGTGGGACAAAGAGAACTGGTAGAAGAAACAGAGAATGATGAATACGCCCAGAATAAGCTTAGAGGTCTTAGGGATGAGGGAGAGGAATCAAGGGGTTTCGAGGAAAGAAATGG